AAGCACAGGGACTGCGGTTCAATCCCCCAGCACCACATGCCAGCCAGCCCCGCCCCCTGGTGGGCTGAGCTGGCCACACACACACAAATAAATAAAAATAAAATAAAAAATACATATATATACACACACACAAGCACATTTATTTATTTTTATTTCAAATTTTATTAGTATATTTACAGTACAAAACGATTACATTTATCGAGAGTTGACAGCTCTACATAACACAACTTAGTTTTACAATTATTTATTTATTTATTTATGACTGGTTGGTAGCTAGCAGTAAATACTGATTTTTTTAGGAAAAGACCAGGTAGAATATCCAACTTCTTAGGACCCACCAGTATTAATAGCTTCCTGAGATGCCATTATCTGTTGTCCTTTGCCTCAAAATTTAAAGCTGGTTATAATCTAAGTAGTTTAAAAGTATATAAAATCATTAGTTTAGGGCTGGGGAGATAGCTCAGTAGTTTAAGTATCTGCCTAGCAAGCGCCAGGACCCAGGTTTGATCCCCGGTGCCATATGCTGCACTTGCCCCAGAACCCCAGATGTGCCTGGCCAGCCACTAAAACTGGCCATGGTGGTGCACACCTGTAATCCCAGCATTGGGCAGACTGAGACAGGAGGATCACTACTAGTCTAAGCTGCGTAGCAAGACCCTGTACCAAGTGAATGAATGAATGAATGAATGAATGAATGATTTTAAAAATTAGGTTAACAAATTATTTTCCACCAATCCCATTTTATCTCTTCATTGACCTTGGTTAGTATTAAAATAAAACAGATTTGTCAACCTTCTGCTCCCTTAAAAACAAAAGAACACTGAGTACGATGCAAGATCTGAAGGAAAACAGCATCTGAGTGATGTGGTCAGGTCAGGTCTCTGAAAGACAACTCCTAAAATAACCTTTTGAGTAGGAATCCAGTTCTTTGAAGGACCTGTTAGGTGATGTAGTTGTATCTGCTTTTCCCCTGGCTCCCCATCCACCAAGGGAAAGTAAGAATACTGGTTTAGGAAGTGTGAGTGCTGTAAACCTCAAAAAATTATGAAATCAGTGTGACCTTTGGATTAACTGGGGTTTTTGTTCTTTGTTTTTTGTTTTTCTTCCTAGCTGTTAAAGAGGGTGTACGGAAGTTTCTTGGTGAATCCAGAATCAGGTATGTAGAAATGTGACCAACTGTAGAATGACATGGAAAAAAAGTCCTGTTGTATTATGTTTTTTCTATCTGAACAGTTTCACTTAAATATATTTTAAATGTTCGTTTTGCAGATATTTCTGCAAGAGCCTGGTTTCCACTTCTATTTGCTCTATTAAAATAGCCTTTGAGGGGCTCTGCTTTGTCCAGTGGTACAGCGTGAAGTGTACAGAATTGATATGTCTTTGGTTTTCTGAGACAGGGTCTGGATGTGTAAATCAGACTGGCCTTGAACTCATGTAGTCCAGGCTGGCATCAAACTCAGCAATCCTCCTGCCTCAGCCTCCCAAGTGCTGGGATTACTGGCATGAAGCACCACACCCGGGTATAGTGGTACATACACATAATCTCAGCACTCAGGGAAGCTGAGGCACAGAATCAAAAGTTGGAGTCCTGCTTGGGCAGTTCATTGAGACCCTGTCTCAGAAAGCGCTGCGAATGTGGCTCAGTTGCAGGGTTGGGATTCAATCCCTAGTACCACTCCCTGAAAAAGAAAGAGAGGGGGGCTGGGGAGATAGCTCAGTAGAATAAGCACTTGCCTGAGAAGCAAAAGGGCCTGAGTTCAATCCCTGGTTCCACAAAGAAAAAGAGAGAGAGGGAGAGGGACAGAGAGATACAGAAGAAAAAACATTCTGGAAATGTAGCTCTGTACAAAGGCCTTGGAGGTGAGGGTGGGGAGTAAAGTGGGAACACAACAGCATTTTCACATCATGGATAAAGGGGTTTATCTCAACCTCTGAAATACTTAGCAGGATTAGCTCAAATTACTGTTACTTTGGTACCTTGACTTCATGCTCTTCAAGAAAGAAAAGCTCTGTATTTTTTACTGTCTTATCAGCAGTTAGTTTCATTAGGTTTCTTAGCCATCTTTATTTCTGTGTATTGAAACAAAGTAGGAAAGAAAGGTGCCTTTGGAATATACCTTGGAAGTAGGAGTATTTGTAAATGTAAGTGTTGACAGCAATCCATAAGAAACAACATGTTAATCCTCAAATTGGTGGAACGGATGTATCACAGAAATAAACACCAAGATAAACAACAGTGCACTTCTGCAGAAATCAGGAATTTGAGAGGAATAAAGAACAAGCAGGGGCTGGTGAGATGGCTCAGTGGTCTAAAGCACCTACTTAGAACAAGCTTAGCAAAGCACAGGGACCGCAGTTCAATCCCCCAGCACCACATGCCAGCCAGCCCCGTCCCCTGGTGGGCTGAGCTGGCCACACACACACACACACACACACACACACACACACAAATAAATAAATAAAATTAAAAAAAAAAAAGAAAAAGCAGATCTAGAACAGGTGCTGGAACTCTTGGGCATGCCCATCACTACCAAGATCCTAACATGGAAAGCTTGTATTTCTGTACTACAGTCTTCCATCTCTTGCCAAAGCACAAGCATTGCCAGGTTACAGGCACACTGAGTTCATACAGGGGTGAACAGTAAAAGAGTGAAGTAGCATTTCTCTCCCTTTTTTGGTGGTGATGAGTGATGGTGCTGGGTGTTGAACCTAGGGCCTTCCACTGAGCTATATCTTTAGCCCTTTTATTTATTGAGACAGAGTCTAAGTCACCAAATTATCCATGCTGAGCTTGAACTTAGCGATTGGCTTGCCTCAGTCTCTCAGCATGTGCAGCTGTGTCCAGCTTTCTTTTTTATGGATTTACTTACACAGGTTTGGAAAATTCAGGCAGCAGCCATACTAGATTCTTAATTTTCTTCATCCTTAATATGTCCTAGTGCTATGAGAAATCTTGAGATCGACTTTTTAGCTGTAGTTGCATTTTATTTGTCTCCTTAGACCCAGCTCTCAACTCTAAATAATATTTTTCTCTAATCTTTTTTTTTCTCTAGTCTTTTTGTAATATATTTTGTTTATCCGGTTTTCAAGTACTCAAATTAGAATAGTATTTGAAGTTATCTGAGAACCAAAATGGTGCAAAGCACTACTTAGAACAAAGATTTAGATATCTCATGTTCTTAAAGAAAGAGCAATAGAAAGTACAGATCTTAGGAATGTTCTTGGAAGAAAAAAAGTAAAAGTGGGATATTTAAAAGTGTGAAATTCAGAGGCCGGTGAGACGGCTCAGTGGACTAAAGCGCCTGCTTCTAAAGCTTAGGTATGCACATGGACTGCAGTTCAATCCCCAGCACCACTGCCACACCAACCCCACCCCCAGGGTGGGCTGAGCCAGCCAGAGTCCCAGCGTGAAGGCATAATGGTGCATGCCTGTAATCCCATTGCTGGCGAGGCTGAAAACAAGAGGATTACTATGAGTCCAAGCTGCATTGTGAGACCCTGTAACAACCAAATACATTTTTTTTAAAAAGGATGAAATTCATACAGTTCTGTTAAAATTGCTCCCTTCATTTTCACAGAATGTGAAATGATCCTCATTGATATATAGAAATTCTTGCAAAAACATCTGTAGGCTTTTGTGCACTTGATTACGTAGTCATGTGTTCCCAGCCCTGTTTCTTAAGATTCATAGATGCCACACTGAGGCAGAATGGATTACTGGTCAGAGACTAGTTTTTCAGTCCCTGTTCTGCCCCAAGTATTGTTGACCTGCCATGTTCCTATACATATGCATGTATTTGGGCCTTCACATTGAGCTACATCTCTAGCTGTTTTTTATTTTGAGACAGGGTTTTTCTGAGATGTTCAGGCTGGGCTTGAATTTGTGATCTTACTTTCTTAGCCTTCCAGATTTCTGGGATTACAGGTGTGTGCCACCATACCTAGATTTGTATGTTGTTTTAATGCTTGTAACAATCTCTCCCTTCTGCGCCCTCCCCCCCAACAAATGAGGGAATTGTAGAGGTTAGGCAGTTTTCCTAGATCACAAGGTGGTGAGGCCAGGATTTGGACTCATTCTGTTCAACTCAGAATAGAGTGGCATACCGTGCTATGTCCAGTAAGTCCCTGCTTGTTTGAACAAAGTAACCTTGCCTGGCCTGCTTTCTTAAAGAATTGTTACGGAGATCAGATGAAGTAAAAATGTTCAAAAACACTTCATAAAGTTATGGTATACAAATAAGAGATGTTGGAGATTCATATGTCAGATACTTGGGTTTTCTGCCCCATGTCCTCTCACAAAAGGCTTGTAGTGCCATGACAGGGTGTGTATTATCAGAAAGCTTCCCAGCTGCTGACCATGTTGGCACATGAGGTCATCAAAGGAAAATAATGAGGTTCATATTATAGTTGGGCATGATATATATAGTCCCTTACACAGCTGTATTGAACATTAAATTTTTATTTTTATTTTTGCGGTACCAGGGATTGAACTCAGGACCTTGAGCTAGCCAAGCAAGCACTTACTCTACTGAGCTATCTCTCCAGTCCTTGAACGCTTATTTTTTATCATCTGTGTTTTATTTCTGTTTGTTAATGTTTATTTCTTATCAGTGCCTAAGGCAGAAATAGCCGCATCCATTCTTTTTTTTTTTTTTTTTTTTTTGACATCAGTTATGCCGCATCCATTCTTAATAGGTTATATCATTAAAAAAATTTGGGGGGGGGTATATGTATTTTTATTTTGAGGCAAGGTCTCACTGTATACTTCAGGCAGGCTCTAAACTTATTGTGTCCAGGTTTGACCTTGAACTCATGATCTTCCTGCTTCAGCCTCCTGTAAGGGCAAAGTGTACACTGTAATGTCTTGCTAAATTTTTAAAAACATTTTTACTGGTGCATCTCTGCAATACATGACTTTCTCATGGGGAGTTGGCACATGCACACAGCACAATTTAATTCTTTTTCATCCCCTTCCCCTCTATTGGCTCTTAGACTGTGTAGCAGTATACCAAAGAGTAGGTAGCTTAAAAATCATACATTTCTCCTAGCCCCAAAGCTAGTCTGAACTCGGGTGCCAACATGGTTAGGTTTGGGATGGCTTGGTTGCCTAGCTTATTATATTCTAATGTGGCAGAGAAAGGGCTTGTTCTCTTTTGCTTATGAGGACATTAATCCCATTATTGCCTTACCTAACCTAACCTCCCAAGAGCCTCACCTATCACACTAGGGAGTGAGGCTTCAATGTAAAAATTTGGGTTAGGGCAGATACAGATATTCTGATAGTAGACTAAGTAAGCTGCCATGTACTTTGTAGATTTGTCCTAGGCATCAAGGATTGAACACTGGGCTTCTGTGCTAGGCAACATCCTCAGCCCCTTCCTTATTTTGGTATGATTCTATGGCAATATATA